CACCCATATTTTGGTTGTAAGTTTTGCTTCAGGAACTAGTTTTGTTCCTTAATTGTGGATTAGATAAAAGGAAGATGGAGATAAACCTCTAAATTAGAGCAAGATTTAATGCTGCATGACATGGGTTTTTATTAATTTAAAAAAAAACACTTCAAAGTTAATTCAACTTTTTGAGTACAAGCGATTGGGAGAGGGTGAAAGAGATGAACCAAGTGAGCAAGTCAATTCAACATAAACCAAGGGCAAGGGCACATTGGTTCAAGTAATATATATAATGGGTACCCTACAAGTCAAGGTTTTAATCAACACACTGCAAACGGCAAATACAAATGTGGAAGTATGAGATGGATGGCATTTTCAGTTAATTAATTGCCCTAAAATAAAGATAATTAAACTATGTCCCCCTCTCCTTTAACCTAGAGCCACTAATTTCTTGCACTAGATCTAAATTCGGCTTGGCCATGAATGAAATTTCATTTTATAATTCCTACTCAAACTCTCAGTGGCAATTTATCAATGAGAAGCATATATGTTAATTGGATTAGTGCACTTCCCCTGGACCTGTAGAATGTGAATCAGAACATATTATTATTATTATTATTATTATATAAGTTTAAAATGTGTTTTATAATATCTTCTAAATCATTATTTTTCTAAATTATTATCACTATATAAACTTTTTATTTTATAGTCACTGGTTCAAAAAAAAAAAAAATCTGTTAATTGCAAATTTTATCTGATTCGGATTGTCTCTGGCTGTTTTCCATCTGGCCAAATTGATAATGGATGATAGTTTGATTGACATATTGTGCCCAATTTGTTTGTGGCCAAACATATTCTCTAATTAAAGCATATATGCATGCATATGAGCACATGACCCTCTCTTACAACTTCTATATTTTCCACTGTATTTTATAAAATTGTGTTTAAAAAAAAGTATTATAAAACAACTACTAAAAGCAAATAATTGAATAAGATTTTGCTGCCATAGATCTGCATTGTATATATAGTCACATTTAGTCTCCCTTTTTTGTTCATTAATTTTCCCCTAAACTTATTGTAATTTCATAGGGAAAGATCCCATCATTGTAATGTGTAAATAAACAGTCACTTATGGTTGGGTTGATCAAGAGAACCATGCAAATATAAGTACCCAAAACAGAGAATAAATGGTGAAATCAAATCAAATTATGCCGTTTTCAGGCATCCTTTAGTTTGGCTATTGCTGTCAAAGCCTTTTGAGATTTTATGTAGTGAGGTACCTTTTCGCCAACCATTTGGTTGACATATTTGGGTTAGTCACTTGGAACAGTGATTTTATTACTTGTGAGTCAGATATGAATCATATGATGCATGGTATTCGATGAGGAAAAAACTACCGGTTTTGATGCTTGATTTGATGAAATGGGCTCTCTTCACAGAATCGTATTTTAGCTCACCTTAGTGGAGTCCCCTGGAATATTCAAGATTGAGAGACGTACCCAAAGTTGCTACGCCTATAAAGTAAGTGCAGCTTCTTGTTCATTTTCCTCATCACTGATCAAGTAGCTGCTAGTTTTTTCACTCTACTGAGAAATTAAGCAAGAGGCGTAGTTTTAGAACAACAATATGTCTAAGAGCTCTATGGCTCAGATGATCAATCGGGCGAAGCCGTTTGTGGCTGTCACTCTGATGCAATTTGGGTTTGCAGGAATGTCCATAATTTCAAAGTTTGCTCTAAACCGGGGGATGAGCCAACATGTATTGGTCGTGTACCGGCATGCTGTTGCCACTGTTTTTATAGCTCCTTTTGCCATAGTGTTTGATAGGTACTCTGTCTCTGGCTCTCTCTGTCTTCTTTCGTGTGTCTTGATTTTTTTGTATTTGACATGTTGAGCAATGAAGAAACTAATCCACTGAAGTTGATGCTCTTGCAGGAAAGTAAGGCCAAAGATGACCTTCTCTGTTTTCACCAAGATTTTGTTACTTGGCCTATTAGAGTTAAGAACCGCGACCACTAAGCCACATGTTGTCCAACTTATAAGCTTGAAAAGACGTTTTAATCATGCTGTTTTCATTTTTAAACAAATTGGAATCGTGCTAATCAAGTTATGTCTACTCTCATTATCAGGCCTGTAATCGACCAGAACCTGTTCTATACCGGGATGAAGCTTACAACAGCAACTTTTACATCTGCCATGTGCAATGTTCTTCCTGCCTTTGCATTCATAATGGCTTGGATTTTCAGGTAAATATTCTGTGGTTTACATATTCCTACTGTATTTCCCTTCCTTGCTTGGTCCAGAAATGTGGAATTAATTAGTTTGACTGGTCTTTTAGGCTTGAGAAGATTAATTTTAGAAGCCTGCATAGCCTGGCAAAGATATTGGGGACCATAGTGACTGTTGGAGGAGCTATGCTTATGACTCTAATTAATGGACCGATGCTGAATCTTCCTTGGACAAGAAGAAACATTCATCAAGAATCTACAAGTGCCACAGATCATCAAGATCCCATAAAGGGTGCTCTTATGATTGGAGCTGGATGTTTCTGTTGGGCTGGTTTCGTCAATCTGCAAGTAAATCCCAAATCTTTTATGTAACTTGAGTAACAAGTAACAACTCACAGTTACATGTGTGTTTATATGTCTTACCCCATAGCATTTGAACTGCAAGGAAATAGACTAATACACAATTATCACCTACACTGTCATCTTAATGAGGCACAATTGCTGGATTAAAATTGTCTAAACTTTTTTCTATTTTTCTTTTTCAAAGAAAATTGATGATTGTACTGATTGAGGTAGAATTACTGCTTCTATAGGCAATTACGCTAAAGTCTTACCCCGCTGAGCTCTCCCTAGCTGCTTGGATATGCTTGATGGGCACTGTTCAAGGCACCGTGGTGGCCCTAGGTTTTGAATGGGATAACCCTGCAGCTTGGTCCATACACTGGGATTCTAAGTTGTTAGCTGCTGTTTACAGTGTAAGCAGATTTCAATTCAACCCCAAGCTTTCTGGTTAACAAGATTTCTGCAGGCTATAAATAGATATGCTTTACAAGTGTATTTACAGCATGAAGATGTTTTGGTGCAGGGAATAATATGTTCAGGTGTTGCGTATTACGTTCAGGGATTGGTAATGAAGGAAAGGGGACCTGTTTTTGTGACTGCTTTTAGTCCTCTAAGCATGATTATTGTTGCTGTTATGAGCTCCTTCATGTTAGCTGAGATAATGTACTTGGGAAGGTTTGCATCAATCTCTCTCTACTAAATCCAAATATAGGATCACCTTGGATTTAAGTAGTTTTTTATATGAAGAAAAAAAAAAGGATGAAGAGCCTTTACTCAGTGGCAAAATGCAAGAAAGAAATTTGTGTATCATGTAGATAACTCAAAATATTTCTCCTGAAGGGCTAATGAGGCTTTTTTCTTTTTTCTGCAGAGTAATTGGAGCAATGGTCATTGTGATTGGCCTCTATATGGTTCTATGGGGTAAAAGTAAGGATCGGATTCCATCTGAATCAGAAAAAGATGATGTGGTTCCACCGGTTTAACGAAAACTACATTCATGGAGAGGACAGTGACATCAGATAAAAGATTTTTTGGCCATTGATGTTACTAAGTAAGAAGCTGATATGTACAATATTTCACAAGGAGGAAGACCAAAAACTATATAATAACTGCTTCGACTTTGAATTTTCAATTCGCAACGAACTCCGTGCAAGCCAAAACTTATACAAGTTAAGCTGTTATGTTGTTGCAGATCAATAAAAGATTCTGGCGAATTATGAGTACAGTGGACCAGTCACTTAAAAAAAGAAGAGGAAATTTCTACTTTGAAAATCCCATAAGTGAAATCATAGTTTTAATATGGAACAGAGTGGTTGCTACTTGCTCCCTCCTTCTGCAGAAAGGTGTTTTGAAATGGGCATGGATGCTCTTCTTGGCACAAACTTTGTGTTGCATGGTTTGAGTTTTAATGTCTTGAATTTTAATGCGGTACTTATATCACAAATCCAAATAATTGAATGCTTGAATCCAGTTAGGTCCATGTAAAGCTGGCATCTTGACACCAATATTACTGATTGATCAGTTAAATCAATTTGCTCAATTTGCAATTACTTCTTTGTGAAATTATGCTTGTTTCCACACTGAAGTAAATTATAATGGCACTAATATGAATGCAATTGGGAATGATAGTGGTTAGTTATTGCTTAATTTATACAATGATAAATGCAATTGTCAAGAAGTGATGAACCACTCAATGCCAAATTGATATTTGCTTGCACTCTTCAACAAGCAAAGCACTTAATCTATTAGTTGGCAAAATTTTGAGAGGCTAGTCCAACCCCATAGGGATTAAGGATAAAATCTACGTATCATCGCCTCAAAACGTCCATTAAACCTACACATGTTTGTTACGTACAAGTTAATAACTTTATCAAAGTGTATTAGTCTTGGTTCAAATCAAAGTGGTCTGGGATGATCAGAATAAGAGTAGATCATGAGTAGTTAATCACATTACTAATCCTTTTGCTTGTGTTCATTAAAAACTTTTTATAGGAGGCTTAGTTGATTTCAAGGGGTGAAACCTGTCATTGTCTGTGGGGGGGGGGGGGGAAACAGGGGCGTTTTCAAGAGGGACTCATTTTCAAACAA